TAGTGGTGTGATCCGTTGATCTATAATCCGCATATCCGTTCAAAATTCGCGAATTTTGTGCAATCCGTATTTTTCTGCGCAATCTGTTCAATCCATATGCATTTTGCCGATCATCCGTTCAATCCAATGAATCTAGTCAATCTGTTCAATCCGGTGAATCTAGTCAAACAATTGAATACGTTCAATCCATGCGGATTGATGATCATTATTTCATCCGTTTATTATATTAATATGGTAACGATAGCTTATATTGTTTTACCAGAGAAATAAAATCGATTTACACCATTTTATTTTTAATTATTTTTAAAAAAAATGTCTGCTTACAATAAGGAAGATGTTGAAGCATCGGCCAAACCTGATAACAATTCTAATAAAAAGACAAAGGTCAATGATACCCGTGGTGGTAGTAATGTTAGAAGTTGGATTTGGTTGTACTTTGATCCGATGTTTGTTGAAGGTGTAAGACATGCGGTTTGTAAGGTTGAGGTGGTAAAAGGGAAAAAGTGCGGTATAAAATACAAGGTTAAAAATTCAACAAGCAATTGCTCTACTCACCTTTCGAATGTTCACGGGATCACTGAAAATCAGACCAAAAATACAGAGTTAACTAATTTACCTCACAATGAATTGCGTCAGCTTCAATTGTGTCAATACCTTGCTGACTGGATCATAACCGATTCCCAGCCACTTACTGTTATTGAAAATTCAGCTTTTAAAAAATTCATAAGCGAGTTAGATCCAAAGTTTGAAATTCCATGTATTAGATATATAAAGAAACTTGTACATATTGCTTACAACCATTCTTTAAAATTAATCATGGAAAAAATAAAAAATGATTCAACTTCCGTGTCTTTAACTTGTGATCTTTGGACTGGGAAAAATAGACAGGGTTTTCTAGGCATAACGTGTTCTTATCTTGATCATGAATTTCAATTTCATGAGATCACACTTTCCGTCGAGCATATCCGTCATCCACATACTGCTGAAAACATCAGTGATGCCATTCTTTCATTTTTGGATGAGTGGGAATTACGTGATAAGGTTTTCACAGTAACCACTGATAACGGTAAGAATATGCAAAAAGCTGTTAAAGACTTGAGAGAATCGGTGGAAAACATAACCTGGCAACCGTGCACGGCACATACCCTTCAGTTGGTAATTGGTAAGGGGTTGGAACCGGTTAAGGTTCTAGTTGGTCGTACCAAGCGTCTGATCGATTTCTTTTTAAGGCCCAAGCAATCCGAGCGTTTGGATGATATCCAAAAACGATACATAAGATCAAATGAGGTTTAAAAGTTTTTTTGTCTTTTATTTATTTATATTTAAAATTACTAATTCTATTTTGTATTTTTAAGGAACAACATTCTATCGTACGTTTATTTAGTTTTTATGAGTCTGATAAAATTTACTAACCGGTATCATATTTTAGGATGCTAAAAAAACATCAACATATCTGAGACATGTAATCGCAGATGTACCTACTCGCTGGAATTCCAGCTACCTGGCATGGTGCCGTCTTTTGGAGTTAGAAAAATATATTCGTGTGCTAGAGGTTGAATTAGCTAAGGATACAAGCCCTGATTCTAAAAAAGATTCACAACATCTGACTAAAATAATGTTGACGAAAGATGAGTGGGATTTGCTTCGTGATCTGATTCCAGTTTTGGGCCCCTTTGAGGAGGCGACTAGATACCTTGGTGGTAGCAAATACGTTACTTACAGCACAATGAATCCTATAATGATCCATATCATTAACATACTCAAACCCACACCAGCATTATCGGAGGAATTAAACGTTGAAACTATCAAGGATATTTTTACGGAACTTGAAATTTGTGATGATGAGAATGATTCACCGAAAAGGATAGACTTAGACAAACCCATTCAGACAGTCGGAATTTTGGAGAAGGTCAAGAAAACTTTGTACCGTGCAATGCGTTATTATTGGAAAAAAGATAATAACGAATCATATTTACCTTCCATTATCGATCCTCGTGTCAAAAGGTTTGATTTTGCGCCTGACAAAATCAAACCAGTTCAGGATTTGTTGAGAGTCAGATATCATGATATGAAAGATAATCTATCAACAGCAAATCTAACATCCACTACTAACATTTCATTACCCACTTCCTACTTTCATAACACTACTGTTTCTCCGTTTTACAAACCAACACTTTTAAACATATTTAACAATTCATCACCTCTTAATTCACAGAATGAGCCGGATGAATACCTTGCGGTTCCACAGATACCTTTTGGGTCTGACCCATTCGCGTGGTGGAATATGAATAAAGATAGGTTCCCCACGCTAAGCAAGTTGGCGCGTATTTACCTCGCAGTTTCGGCGACGTCAACACCTTCCGAAAGGTTATTCTCAGACTGTGGTAACCTATTGGGTTGCAAAAGGACACGCATGAGTCCCGAATTCTTCAAACGCTTGATGTTCCTGAAAAGGAATCACAACATTTTAGATAGCATTCACCCATAATATAATAACAAGAATTTATAAATTATTATGTAAATTCATTATTAAATAAGTAAAATTTTATTATATTATAAAATACCAATTTTATACATTTGAATAAAAAAAATATGCATAGGCTCGCATTTACATGCATGAATAACGAAAATAAAAAGATTTGAGAATCGCCTTTTTTTTCTCTAAAAAATGAACATCGCCAAAAAATACACCAGCAAAGATTACAATCTCGGATATGCGTATCAGCATGGTATTGATGTGGAAAAGAATGATGGATTAGCGTTTAAGTACTATCAAAAAGCTTCTATTGAATGTAATCACGAGTTTGCGATTTTTAGTCTCGGATATTGTTACCAACACGGTATAGGTATCGAGAAGGATAATAATAAGGCTTTCGAATATTATAAGAGATCTTTTGAACTCGGATTACCGGAAGGAATGTATATGCTTGGTCAATGTTACTGGCATGGTATCGGAGTTATAAAGAACGTTCAAGAGGCTCATAGATACATTCAGATGGCTGCAACTCATGGGGTATTAGGTTCTTTTAATATTGGACGATGCTTCAGACATGATTTATATGCGAAAGTTATTCATGATTGTACAGATGATGCTTCACAAGTTTTTTCGTTGGCTGATACCTATTCTTTAAATATGGATTATACTAAGGCGTTTATTTATTTTCAAAAATCTGCTGATATGGGTAATCTTGACGGGACATATAATGTCGGTTATTATTATGAAAAAGGAACTGGTGTCGGAAAAGATGAAAATAAAGCGTTCGAATTTTATAAAAAATCCGCTGATATGGGTCATGCTATCGGAACATATAGTACTGGTCGCTGTTATGACGTAGGAATCGGAGTTGAAAAGGACGATAACAAGGCGTTCATTTATTATCAAAAATCTGCAGATATGGGTAATGTCTATGGAACATTTGAACTTGGGAACTGTTATCGGTATGGTAAAGGAGTCGAAAAGAATGAACATAAGGCCTTTGAATATTATCAAAAATCTGCTGATATGGGTGATGCCGAAGGAGTGTATTTAGTTGGTAAATGTTATCAAAATGGAATTGGAATTGAAAAGATGAACACAATGGCGTTCATTTATTTTCAAAAATCTGCTGATATGGGTCACGATGAAGGAACGTATATTGTTGGTCATTGTTACGAAAAAGGTATTGGAGTAGAAAAGGATGAACATAAGGCATTCGAGTATTATCAGAAATCTGCCAATTTATGCTATATTGGTGGTATATACAGTGTTGGATATTGTTATGACAAAGGAATCGGAGTTGAAAAAAACAAACATAAGGCGTTCATTTATTTTCAAAAATCTGCTGATATGGGTAATGCTGACGGAATGTATAATATTGGTCATTGTTATCGTAACGGTATTTGTGTAGAAAAGGATGAACACCAGGCGTTTAGATTTTATCAAAAATCTGCAGATTTGGGTAATGCTAATGGAATGAATGGTGTTGGTAATTGTTATCAATATGGAGTTGGAGTTGAA